GGCGGTGTAGGCCGCCGGGCATCCCCCCTGGGCCCACGCCCTGGCCCGTGGTGGGCAACTTCGGTTTCGTGCTGCTGCCGGCCTTCCTCCGCGGAAGGAGCTGGAAGGATCCCCCGACTAGGGGCGCGGGCACTGACCCCTCCCCCGCCAGCTCGCAGGTGATACTGACCTACCTGGCCAAAGTCTATGGCAACATCTATAGCTTTTTCCTGGGTCACTACCTGGTGGTTGTCCTCAACGATTTCCACAGCGTGCGCGAGGCTCTGGTGCAGCAGGCCGAGGTCTTCAGCGACCGTCCGCGTTTGCCGCTTGTCAGCTTCATAACCAAGGAGAAGGGTGAGCTGGGCCTGGGAGCCTCGGGTGTTGCGGTCCCGGTGAACGCGCGAGGCTGCGGGGCATGGGCCCCCTCCAGCCGCAGGCACCCGCCGCCGCCTCCGCCCTCCTGCGTCGGAGCCGAGGGGGTTGGGCAGCAGCACCTCTCTTATCTGGTGCCTTTAAGATGCCATCCAGCTGTAGCTGATGAGTTTATATTTCAAGATCAGAAGTAGTACACCCACCGGAAAGTCGAGGAAGGGTAACGGGAGTGAAGGGGGTGACAAGGTGTGAAGCTGGGCTGCCTCTCTCCAGGGGTATTCTCTCCTTCCCAGAACCAAGCCTCACTTCAGGCCATGTACCAGGAAACTGGGGCCGGATGAGAAACGAGGCGGGATGTTCTTTTCACCTTCTGAGTTTGCATGCAAGAGTTTAAGATATTTATTTTCCCACAGATAGGAAGTTCAGAAAACACTTTAGGGGCCTACTGGCAAACAATACGCTGGGTTTATAGCTGCCGTGATTCCTGCCTGTGGGAGTCTAACTTGGGCAATTTTTCCCAGCTAGGAAATGCGTTATCTGTTTCAATAGAATATCACATCTACTCTTCCCCTAACTCCATCCATCCACCTATTTATTTCCCTTTGTTTATCTGTCTTCCTCTCCCTTTATCTTATTGGCTAGCATAGGTCCCAGACTTTATTGTCTTTGCCTCAGGGGTGCTTTTTTTCTCTCCCCCTCACATCTTCTCCAAGTAATTTAAGCTCCCTTGTTTCATTGCACAAGTATTTTTCCTTCACTGCACTTACCAAACTGAGGCTGCAAAATTTTGTAACCTGGGGCCAGGATGTCTTCACCACTAGACTGACATCCAGGACGACAGAGTAATTCCTATGTGTGGCACATAGTATATGCTCCATAAGTACTTATTAAGTAAGTGAACTGCTATTTCCTTTTCCTGGAATGTGGTATAGAGAGAACCAGGCTTTTTATAATCTGAGTTTGCCAGAGTTTTGCATCAGGATTTTAAATGAATACTAGTAATGATGATCATAATATTCCAAAGGTACCACTGAAAAACGGAAGTCACAGTGCATACCTCACCCTCTCCATGCCTTCACACATGCTGCTGCTTCTACCTGGAATTCTCTTCTAATCTCATAGCTTCCTGGAAACTCCTGCCTGCTTTTCTTTAAAAAAAAAAAAATTGTGGTCAAATACACTATAAAAAATTTGCTATCTCANTCTCATAGCTTCCTGGAAACTCCTGCCTGCTTTTCTTTAAAAAAAAAAAATTGTGGTCAAATACACTATAAAAAATTTGCTATCTCGATCTTTTTTTTTTTTTTTTAATATATCTTTATTGATTTCAGAGAGAGGAAAGGAGAGGG